TATTGTATTGCACCCGTATATCCTTTTTTCAAGTCTGTGTTGGAATAAATTTATAGGGGGGAGGGAGTATGGAGTTTGAGTATTGCCATTGTATAGCCCTTTATTGCTATACGAGAGCAATACAATAGCAATACTTAAGCAATAAAGGGCTATATAATGGCAATACAAAAACCCCATAATCCCACTATAATTTTATTCCAACACAGACTTTAAAAAATTGGATATACGGGGGCAATATAATAGCAATACACAATCAATAAAAGGATATACAATGGCAATACAAAAACTCCATACTACCCCATTAATTTCATTCCAACAGATACTTGAAAAAAAAAACAAAAAGGTTATACGCGAGCAATATAGTTGCTCTCTTCAATGTATAATATAAATAAAAGTATTTTTCCATTGCATACGCTTGCGAATATATAAAAACAACAGATTGAAGACTGAAATTTCTCAAGCAAATTGAACTCAATTTCATTCCATGAGGACTAAATAATTACATGGTTTGTCTGATACACAAATAGTTCCTCAATTACATGTTTTTTTTCCTAATAACTACAGTACACTTCCTACAACTGAATGGAATGTTGTCCCACGACAAATTGATGAAGGTTCTCAATGACAACAATCTTCTAGAAGCCAAAGATCAAGGTCCAACTGTCATGAAAAAAGGTCAATTATCTCAAGACTTAAAGTTAGGGTTTCAAATCACAAGAGACCAGGCTTGTGGGATATGGGCCGTGACATGATCTCATACTCTACCAATTGTTGCTTCACCTTCTCATATTCATCCATCATCTTCCTCTACAACAGAAACAAAATAAAGCAATGTCAATATGCACATATATAAATATGTATATACAGAGTAATACAAAAGACAAATTGGTATTAATGAGGTACATCTTTGATCTGCTCTATCGAAACCATCACTTTCCTTTTATTGCTATATATGTAGATGCGCAAATGCACAAATAAGCCCAATTTAAAATCTCCTACTTACGTATCAAGAAAAGACAAACTTAAACTCAAAGCAGACTAAGTTTCTTATAAGAATAGAGTTCATTGTTTTTCGTCTCAATTTCATTTGCAACTTATAACTCACATGGTATCCAAAATTTCAAGCAGTGCATGACAACTCAACCAAGTTAAATCCAGAACAATGAGAAAACAACAATATTGATCAATGAAAGAATTATGAAAGAGGCTGATCATTGATCAACAATATTAACTCCACAACATAGACACCACAGAGGTATGCAGTACAATTTACTTTCATTCAATTTCTACACAAAAATAATCTTTTAGATTGATATAGCCATTCATTGCAAACTGAAATTTCACAGCCATGAGAATAATGCCAAGAGGAAGAGTATCATATCACCTCAGAATTGGAAAACATCTAATGGACAAGGAAAAGCAAACCTACTAACCACAAGACGAAAGACCTTACTGCTCAAGCTTGATCAGCGCACATCTACATGGACGTTAACCCCCGTATGATCATATTGCTTATTTTTTTTTCTATTCTCGGCATTGGCTTTGCACCATTTATGTTTTAACAGTATACATGAATTGTTCCAATTAAAAACTTCAAACCGTAGGACCTTTAGTAGTAAATTATGACTTAATAAAAAATAGCCATTGGAGTTGGATCTAGGGAGCTGAAAGCATCACATGGCTCAAAGAAACCAAATCAGGGGACTACGTACAACAGAGGCAGTAGTGCTAGCTAGTACTGCAGGCCAGGGTAGAGCAGGGCATGGCAAGGGACATTTGGATGCAAATGCTAGAGATATAGACCCTTTCTTTTAGGTAAATGAGAGAGAGGAAGCAGCAACAGCAAACCCTCTCTATGTTTCTTTTGTTTGCTCACATACTTTTTTGCCATAACATGAACTTTATTTCTCAATTTCACAATGACACAAAACAATGTAGTATTAACTTGTTCACATCACAAGTTAAATGGC